GGCCATTCCACGAATAATCCTTTTCTCGCCTCTCTGCACTAATTCAGGAGCATAAATCAGAAGCAGCTGATAAGGTCGTAGGCACCAAGATATCCTGCCTCCCATTCAGTTTTCCTAATCATCCTGCAAGCCACCCAACAGCTTTGGATTTGGGAGTTTTGAAAACAACTCTCCTCATTTTAAAATATACATACATTTCAATTTCCTCCACATAATGCTGGCAATTACAGAAACAGCTGCTTCTGATTTTGTAGTGATTTTTCCCCCAGCACGCACATCCCTGTGACTGGCTTCTGTTTCCATTCTCACAAAACAAGGCATAGTGACCTGCACATTTTTTCCCCCTTGCCACCATTATTAGCCTTCTCACAGCTCTTCTTTCCAGTTTCAATGCTGTGTTTCACATCTGCTCTGTTCCATAGGTTTTCTTAAAGGGAAATACCCTATATTTGTATTTATGATTATCCTCTTATCTTTCAACCAACACCACACATCCCAGTTTCTTGACTGTACTGAAATTTGCTCATTCTTAATGTTACAGATTGATGAAAAGCTGCTAAAATCGGAGGAAGATATTTCTATCGTCAGTCAGCATCAGTGAGAGAGCAGCCTGCTCTTGGAAGCCTGTAGCTCTGATTGTTCAAAAACATCCTGTTCACCATGTCGATTTAACCACGTGCATAAGGTGTTAAAAGATCAGGCTCTAAGTGTACAAATTCTGTTGAGATCTGAGGAGGTTCTATTCATAAATATGAATGAGGGCCAATTTCATACCACTTGTTACATCCCACGTACTCTATTTCTTCAAACTATCACTTGTCTTTCTTTTTATGTGCCAATAATCAATTTGTAAAGCACAAATCATAAAGGTTGCCTGGTTTCTGATTATGCTACAGACTATGATTTTACATTTAATCGATTTTCTTACTTTGATAACCAACGCTCAGTTTCTATTTTATCACCTTATTTGTGTTTGAAGGAATAAAAATCACCTTCTTGCAAGGATTAAAGTGTCATGTAGTATTTATTTATAAGCAAGTTTTAGACCTGCAACGTCACAGCTAGCGTTTAATCAGAAACGCAGACAAGAAGCTCAGCTTGTACGTCACGTTCTGCCACACATCAAGCAGCAATCACATTTCATTATTATCAAAACCTGCAAAACTCTGCCAGAGAGAGAGAGGAAAAAAACAGCAACAACAACAAAAAAACCCCACGCACCAATAGGTTATTCAATTTGCATTCTGTGTGAATTCAGACTGGGCACAAGAATTGGGTTCCTGTTCATTAGGGATGAAAAAAGAACATAATTTTTTGTGGAGACACTTGTTTCTCAGGAGAGAGTAGATACACATTTCGGAGTCCCTTGCAGCTCCAGGATGCCAGCACAGACAGGTACAAAGAGTCACACGCACCTGCTCCGAGCTGGGTAAGGATGCCGGCTACACGCTGGAAGCCATATAGTAACCTTCCTGCCTTGCTTTGCAAGGGCATGCTGAGGCAGGGAAGATTGCTTTAGGCTCACTGCCATGCAAATGAGTTTATTAAGCTTTCCAACCAGACCAGTGGAGGGTTTGGACTGGAGACAGGGGGAACACATAGGGCTGCCTGCAGCCATCCACCCAGAGCAATCTCTTAGGCTGGAGTCACGCTGTCTCAGTGCTGGGGTTCACTTGATTCTGGAAGTTCACCAGCCTTACTACTTGAAAGATGCATTAGTCATGTAAACATCTCCGTTTCACATATATGGAAAATAAATTTGGCAAGTTTTACAGAAAGTTTTCCTCTATGAATCAGGGCCAGGTCACAAGCTCCCATTCATTTGTTACCAGGGTATCAGGAAGTTAAAAAATATAATAATTCCTCATGTGTATTAATAATTACTTGGGTTTCTCGATTCCTCCAATTTCATATGAGTCTGTTTCATGTGAATATTTTTTAAAAAGTACTTCTTCTAACTATAACAGCTGATGATCTCACCACTAATGACCCAAGACCCGATCCTCAACTGACAGCACTGCCTTACATTTCTCTGTTATCTTTTATAACAACCTCTTGGAAGTGTAACCTATAGCTGCCTTTTTTTTTTTTTTAAATTGCCTAGAGACATCTACTTGTAAGGATGTGAACAGACTCAAAATAGTCATCTAGAACTGGTTGTCAAAGGACACTTCAAACATTTTCCCTAGCCATAGCCTGTCCCTACCTCCTGACTGTTTCCTCTCATTTAAAATCTTGCCTTTCTGCATGGAAGTTCAGATTCAGGATTGATGTTTTCCAGTTGCTTATGGTGTTGAAGAAGGCTGAAGAAATCCAGCCATACACTGAAACGTGTGTGTATTTTACATGACAGCATCTTGTTCATCTGAAAAAAAGAGGGAGAAAAAGAAAAAGGAAAAAAGGCCAGAGATACTCAAGTGTCTTTGCTGGAGTTCCCATGGAAGGTTCACCAACCCCCTGAATGACCTGTAGAGCTTTGCTGTGCTCAGACCAACATCCCAGCTGCAGAGAACACCCACATTCCCCTCCCAATTTCAGATGAGGTTGCCTGGACAAAGATGATTACATCCGTATGCCAGGACATAAGAAGAAAGCCTTCTGTGGTGTTATTTATTGTAGCAACAGGCCCTGGCAACTGTTAGACTCCATGGTGATAACGACTAACTAAGCTCCCAAGAAGAGACTAGGGCATTCCTACTCCCTGGACTTGCAGCAAGGAGAAGCAGATGGTCACAGTTTCACCATGGGCTGCAATATTTCTAACAGGGTCACTGTTGCACAGCCGTCTTCGGAGGAGCTACAGAACAACCAGGAAGCCAAAAGCCAGGTAGTGTACAGAGTCTGTTTGTGAGAAGTTAAAGTATGTTAGGAGAAGGCTTAGTACGTCAGCGTACAAGGTCATACACTTACAGAGAAGTGGTTTTGCTGATATTAATGGTAGCTCTGAATCTGTCAGGGAGCTCTTTAAGAGAAGGGCTATCACTCACTGAGCTTAATACAACCCTTACGCTACAGGGGAAGCAGACTCACTATTTGGCCACACGCATGACACAATTTTACAGCACCCAAAAAGTGGCTTTTCACAGTCTGTCTCACTTGCCTGATTAAAGATACCATTAGAGGCATTATCTCTCACACCAGTGATGAATTACAACAATACAGCAAGGTGGGGTTCACCTCAGAAAGTTATTATGAGGCAGGGGTCTATATATATGCAAATATTAGAGGATACACATGCACAACCACCTTGTGAAGTTTGCGGAGTTGAGTTGGCTCAAGCCCAAGTGCACAGAGAAGACACAAGAAAACGTTTAGGCTCTAACCCTGCATTTTTTAGAGGTTCAAAGCTATTGTTTAGAAGGTGCACACCTTAACACCTCACCAAGTGCTAATTTAAAACTCAGTTTTCAATTTCTAATGAATGATCCAGATACAGAAAGCACTTAAAATACTGAAACAATTATGGACACATTTAAGCTTAAAGTTATTGCTTCCTCTCTAAAATGCTCACTATCAACATCCACCCGTGACAGAACATGGGTAAGCATCAGGAACGCCTTTGTCTTCCACTCCACTCGGAACCTGCCAATTCTGTGAGACTGTTCTAGGTACCATCTTAAATGTTTAGAAGTCCAAAGAGCTTTTCTCATGTGTTTCTTCATTTTCTTGTAGACTAAAAGCAACAGCGTTTCTGGAACAGAGGCTGTCTCCTCACGTGATGGGGCACCTTGGCCAACGGGCACTTCAAAGTGTGGAGCCAAACTTGAAGATGAGACCAGTGAGGGAGACTCCCCTGAGGAAGTACCAGAAAGATTTACATCTTCTCAGAACAGCAGCAGTGTACAAAGCACAGGTAAACAGTCAGTGAAGTTTATACCTGCTCCACGAATGGAGACCTGGGACCAAGTAATCTTGAGTCTATTGCTACAGCCAGCTTCTACACCCAGAAACGTTCATGCTGCGACACCGCAAGGACTAAGCTCTTAGCGCTGATTTAGATCTATGCAATAGTAGCAGAATATATTTCCTAGCTGATGATTATGTTCTGCTGCGTGACTCAGCCCTCACTACCAGAACAGGCAGCAGGGTAGATACTTTTCTTGGCAGTCGCCTGGAACAGACCAAGAGAACAAACTCAGCCTTGTCCCCAGGGGTAATCCTCTCTAACTGGGATTGTGGCACACTGGGAAGGCACATGGCCCACACGCGGGCTGTCAGTCTGCTGCTACAGTGTGTCCGTTTTACAATGGAATGGTCAATACAATACCCCGACTAGCATCAGGTAGACACAGTAAGTAAACTCCATGTTATTCCTTAAGTTTTCAACCAGAAGTTGCAGGGCCAGTTGGCATATAGAGAAAACTATAAAGTTTCCAGAAATCATCATGACAATAAAAAATTTTCTTGGCAGACCTTTGCTTATTTTTTAAGTATAAGCGAACACTTAAACCCCAACTTTTCTATAATCTTAGCATACCACTGTAGTAAGAGTTGCTAATGGAAAAGCAGCACCGTCTTTGGCATATTTAAACCCCCTAATTTTGTAGTTTAACTCTTGTATTTTTCAAGGGCCATGAACAAGCTTACATTTCACAAACACACTGAATAGAAAATCTGCAGTGGTTGCTTACTCTTTGTAATAAACGAGGGTTGTAATAAAATATTTCAAATCGAACACAAAAGGAATAATTACTGGTGTTTGCTATTCATTAAATAGGACTTAACTCCCAATGCCACAGAAGGACATGATGAAAGGATTTCATTTCAGATTGAATGAAGTGATTTGCTTGCTCTGAAATAAAGTGTTCCATTTAAAGATCCTTTTCTTCCCACTAGCTGAAAGATAACTTCACAGGAAACTTCTAAACAGAAAGTTTTTGAAATCATGCTTCAATCTTCTGCTTCAAGGCAGGAAAAAAAACCAAAACCAAACACCAAACAAAACAACTCATATCATACCAAGATATTTCAACTATATTTTTCTCCTGAATGAACGGATTAGTAAACCCAGTACAAATTCACATCACTTGTCAATGTTGCCCACTCATCATACTTTTATGTTTTGCTGTATACTGGCTTCTGACATTTATATGTGCTGACTGACAGCTAAACCCCAGTGCTTTGTGGGTGACTGGTTCAGTTATTTTAGGAGAGGTATGGAGTCAGCTTCTACAAGGGTGGTAGATGTTCTGTATTTTTGTTTTACAACTAAAAACATAAGCAAACGTTGTCAAACCCACTCTGCTTATAAAGACTGGCAGATGTCAAATAACTACAATTTTGATTTGGTCCAAGCATTCTTCATACAAAAGCTTTAACTTCTGCCAAGAGAGGTTGGGCAGATGGTAGAACTGCCAACTGAAGGCTGAAAACCTGATGGGTCTTGGCAATAAAGTTGTTCGTTGTTTATTCATGTCTAATATGGAAACTGAACAGCCACTCGGAAGGGTTATCAAAATAATTTGGGTTATATTCTTAATTATGTATTTATAAACAACAATTAAGTGGCAGAATGCTTATGATCAGACTCAAATGTAGTGATGCTGTTAAAACCACCAGAGACCATGACAGCATATGAAAGTTTGGGTTCATTTAACAGAAGAGCACAGCGATCTTTGCAAGACAGCCCATTAGTAAGCATGTACTATCCCATCCCAGCCTGGCTTTCTCTGAGCAGATCACAGAACCCTTGAGAACCTGAACTGTAAAAAGCTCCCTATGACCCATCTTTGGGAAAATGCTCAAAAACTGGCTTCACTGGCCTTCAGCACACGCTTCCATGCTTTCCTGAATGTGCCCCTCTGGGTGTAACCAACTACAGTGAGAAACTGAACTTGGTGCCTCCACCATTGTTCAAGCCACTAAAATGCTTGTTGCAAAGTTCAAGCAGTGAAGAGAGCCTCGAGCAGGCCTTATCCACTGGACATTCTCACTCTTAAATAAAAACTCTGGCACTGGAAATACATCATGAAGTTTTTTGAACGCCAAGTGTTCTGCAAGTATTAAGTTTTAATGCTTTCATCTTTTGAAGATGCACTGCTTACCAGCAAGTTCATCAGTAAATCATGGCCCATACAGGAAACAGAGCGGCAAACATCATCAGACATTCTTGAGGAGCTGAGGATGCAGGGAATAATCAAGAGCCAAAGTACCACTGCTAGGACTGGAGAAGTATATGAAAACAAGGTAAGTGTCATTGTATGAGACAGGACTCCTGCTACAGCTCTGACCCGGCTGTGAGCACGCTGAAATTCAGTTTCTGTGCACACAAAGCAGCCAGACATAACTCCTCTAAGATTTTAGAAACAAGTCATTAAACAGAGAACTGTATTATGGGAATGTTAGTACAACAGAAGCTGGCAGCAGTTTTCAACTGTTTACAGCTTCTAGGCTTATTTCAAATACGGACAAAGGAGACAGCAACAGTATTAAGAACTTGCTCTTTGAAAAAGCTTACTGGAAGTTACATGCTACAAATTTGTTTCTCAAGTCCACAGAACTAGAAGAAATACTGCTGCCAGGGCTTATTTAATTTAACGCTTAAATTAAGGCCTCAGTAATACTAAATACCCACACTTCTGAGAAATTTACAATTCACATTTGATCTTAGGCTAAGAAACCATTACAAAATGGATTTTTTTTTTTAAAAAGAAGTATAGAATTGGTATTTGACTAAGAAGGTAGTGTCCATTTTCTTTTCATTCTGAATGATATCCTGGGGTTTATTTTAGCTTCTGAACTTATTCTCTGTTGTCAAGCATTGAGTTAAGGATCAGATACCTGTTTCAGATAAGGTTTCAACTACAGACATCAGGAGGGTGAAGGTCTTCAGGGAGTTCGTAAGAAGTTTAATGCATTTATGGATAGGTGTCATCCAAAGCATGATCCCACCACTGCTTGGACCAAGCTCAAATCAAGGATGATTCCGAGTACCGTTGTAATTTGAGGCAAGCCATTCATTCACACATCTCTAACCTTGGTCACTTATATTGTTGAAGATCAAACTTTCATAAGATGGTCTAAACAAGAATGTGCCACTCTATAGTCTGACCACTGGTGCTGCCTAACACATTTCCTGTTGCCAGCACTTTGGAAAATGGGGCTGGAGCGTCCCCAAGACCAGTGTCTCCATGGCCTTTACTTACTTTCCCCAGACAGATTTTTTTTTTTTTTTTTTGGAGTACCTGAGAGAATTATCCCCTCTGTGGCTAAATTTAGGTAACATACTGCGGGCAGGGTTTTGTATTTTTCCCTTTCATAAGATAAGCGTGTGTCTGTTCTTTTTTTCCTCCTGTATTAAAAAGCTGTCTGGTATTAAATTACACATACTCTTTTATTGACAGAAACTCAGTCTGTGCTATTTCTCCTTAGAGAATCTCTATCCTCCCAACAGGGGGAAGGCACTTTATTTTTTTTTCCCCTTAAAATCAGTACAGCTTTTAAAAATGAACCTCATACTTTTCAGTAACAAAGCCAGCTTTTCCAAGCTTTTTACATTTGAGCTAGGCCTACTGCTGAGCAACCTACAAGTGAAAACATAAATCTGTCACTGGCTGTTAACTATTAGCTCTCCCATAGTAGCAATAGAAAATTTGGCCTGTGCTACATTCTGTAAGAATAATTTATTCCATTAGAGCTCAAATCCAGCAGATTGCCTATGAATAGAGAGATGAAGTGATGCCTGAATGCAGGCACAGTAGAAAAGGTTTATTACCCAGACATTCCAAATTACAAGATGCAGCTCTGGATTTTGAGCAGGAACACACAAGTAAAGTCACACCTGAAATTTTGGAGTTGCCCAGGAATAAGCACAAATGGCTTTATGATGAATTTCAGTCCAGCACTACCTTCCATGAAGAAGAGAGCTCACAGACCTCACCACTATGAAAGACTAGTAGAACCAGGTTTGAGATTATTTTTACAATAATATTGGAAGTAATAATGTCCTTGCAAGAGCTTTTCCTTCCTGAGCATAATTCTGTTCCACCTAAGCATCTGCATCCCTTAAGCTTTGGCAGAATTACCTGTCTTGTCAGGATTTCCTGCCATTGCCAACATTGTGAAACAGGTAAGCTAAAAGCCTTCTGTCTTTTGACTGTCCCTCACTTTGTCCTGAACAAAGGAATTTCAAGCAGTACAGGTTAAGGTGCCTTGTTATACCTGTTTCTAAGTGTTAAAAGTTTAATTCTCATCCCTAAAGAGTTACATCAAGCTCTTAATAAACACCCCTACTCCCAAGAAGCAGGAGTTGTATTATAGGCAACACTGGACACTGGAGTTGGTCGATGCACATGCAGCTGTAGGATACAGTCTACTGGGGACCTTCTCCCCCCATATCTGTCTTCAAAGGTGTGAGCTAGAGGGTAAGGAAAAGGACCAAAAAGCTGTAGCTTCAGCCAGACCCGTCTATGGGAATGATCCATTTATCATGGGTTATCATTTACAAGGGATGCACACAGGTTATTGTTTTAACGTTTCCATTGCTGTTAGCTTTCAGTGTGAGTTTCTTGAAGGACGTTGAGGACTCTTGATCTCCCAAAACTGTTTAGCTCACAGTTAAGTTCCTTTCTCAGTTTATATAGACATAGAACAATCTGGAAAGCAACCTGCTTGCTGAATAATCTGTTTAGTGGGGACATATTGGACAGAATTTTCCATTCATCTCTTCCTATGCAAGCCACAGTTTATCTTGGGTAAGGAATGACATACTCAGTCAATACCTTCCCACTCTGGGATTTTGCTAGCATGGCCTTTGTCATTAGAATGAAGAGTTTCTTTCTTTTTCTTTTGAAAGAGTCTTTTGTTTCATTTTTATGATGATTGAACATTGCTTTGTTCAGATTTTGTGTCATCTGCATGTGAAACCTCTCCTTTGTATATTGGTTTTCTTCCTACTGAATCATGCTCCACCTTCAACTCACTAAATGAGTCATCCTCTATACTATTTGTAGCACTTAACACTTCTGGCAGGGAGGCCTGACTTCTAGAGTTATTTATGGCGGTAAGAGTCTGGGGAGCAGAGAACTCAGGAAACTTGTAACAGGATAGTGATTATTTCAGCCCTAGGTCCTTGGTTTGGGTTTAACACTGCTAAAACTGCTTATTATACAGAAAATGGTAGAATTCAGCCTCCTGGCTGATCAGATAATCACCACATCTTTCCAGGAGTAAGTGCTACCCTCAGCAGCAGAGCTCTAGGATCAGGCTGCTCATTTGTATGCAGCAGAGGCCAGCAGTATCATGATTAGGAAGCTCTAACAAAACCATTCTGAAATCTCTTCAGCAGTAATAAAGTAACTTCCTTAAATACTTGGGGCCTCATTACCAAATCCCCACATCTGCTGGGTGTACAGCAACATTGCAAGCTTTGCAGACACATCACTCAGCAGAAGAGGGGAATTCTCACTGCAGACAACACTCACTCATGAGCAAGCACTGAGGTTATTGGCACATCGTTATTTCTAGGCTTTCACTGGTATCAGAGTCCATCTCCTCCATGCATGGAAAAAAGCAGAAGGCAAGCCACAGAGTGTCACCCCAACATCTAAATATACTCTGCTGAAAGCTTTTAATGTCTCTACAGAGAGATACGCTGGAGAAGACACTGAAGAAATGACCAGCTAGGCTGAAAGAAATTCAGTTTGGAAACAAGGAAGTGGGTGATTTTACAGTGGAGGACATGAAGACTTCTGCTGAGGCAAAAAAACCAGTTCATCTAATTCTGCTGTGTATTTTTCCAGTGTTTGCTTTACCACCTAAACCCCTCTATTTTTATAAATGCAGACAGTTTATGTACAACCTACTACCAAAACCTGATCATTGGCAGCAAAGTCGGTCCTATATTAATTTCATAGATGTTGGAAGTCCAGGTTTATTTTTGACAAAAGCCTGGAAGATTACTCTAAAAATGCATATAAGAGGAGACTTCTGAAGCAGTCTTTTTTTTACAAAGCAGTGGGGGTTTTCTGTTGTTTTGTTCTAGGTTAGGGAAGAGGAACTGAACAAAATGCCACAACACATCTAATTTTTTCCAGCAACTGCCCACTGAACTACGGGTAAAAAGTCTGCAAAGGACTCCTCAAGTTTTGAGAGTCAAGGAGGTACAGACACCCCTCAGCCCTTACCTCTAGACAGTGAGCCAGAGGTATTGCTGAAGGAAAGAGCTGCAGTAAAAACCGCAAACAATTGTATCGAGAACTCTCTCATCGAGTCTGATAACTTGCAACTGCATCAATGAGACAATCTGGATCCAAGTTATCTTGCAAAAACGAAGAACTCTGCTCCCTGCAGCTGTCTCTTCTGTGGGCATAAGAAAGTGTTTTATCATGCAGCGCAGCTGAGTCTTGCTGCTACCTATCTCACCTGGGAAAATGGTATTTAATCTTGATTGTTACACACTAATTGAAAGTAACAAAACAAATGAGAAGACCCAGGAAGATGCAAATTAGTGCAGACAGTCACTAAGTTCAAGCAAGTACACATCATCATGATTCTATCAAATTTACTTTTTTATTATTATATTATTAAATTTAGCTCACTTATTGGAAGGCTCCATGAAAAGATTCCCTTTCCCTAGGGAGTAGGGAACAGGAGGTTGGAAAAGCATTGTACAGACACAGGAAAGACAGAAAACCAGGAGTGTGCAGGGGAAAAAGCTGTGACCAACAGGGATTTGGGGCAGTAGAACAATGGTGGGACCCTAAAAGTAAGAGCACAGACTTTTAATTTACTGTACAGCCCAACCAACAAAGAGGTGAGAGCTTCAGATTGTAAGGTGACAACTGGCCCCAAGAACATCGACTTGACAAACATTGAGCATACAAGGGAGGAACAGAACAAGTATTGATACTACAGTGGAGAAAACAACTAAAGAGGGGAGATATACAAAGCACAGGCAGGTAGTTCACGTGGAAGGAGATGATGGTTTTTGTTGCAGAGTGATGTGCTTGGTCAGTCTCTTGACTTTGGAATCTATCCCCCCACCCCCCTCCCCATGACCTACCTCCAATATGCACACATTTACTCCAGCCAGCTCTTCCAAAAGCAGTGAGTAAAGCAGTTGTACCATTCATGCTCTCCCTGCTGTCAGCCCACTCCAGTCATCTCTAAACATGGCCATCCCCACCTCCATTTGGGTCACAGGCTCTACCCACCTTCCTTCCCCATCAATCCCACACCACGTTCACCTCTGCTCCTAGCCTGGCTTTTTACTTTCTTACCTCAGCTACAGGTGGTGACACCTTCTTCCCTTCTACCTTCCAAGCCAAGGAAATTCAGCTGCAGCATAGGACCACCCTTCTCTTAAGTCACAGGACAGGCACTGCAGAACAGACAAAAAGGCAGTCCCCATTTTTACAGGCTCATGGTAGTTCTCCCTGTCACACTCAGGAAGAAAAAAAGCTTTCCTATTTCCTCTTCTCTGGCCAGACTTGTACTAAATCACCAAGGGGAGGAGCAAGAGCTTATCTCCTTTCCTGAGCAGCTGGGATCCTACCTGAGGAGCTGAGTGAGGCAGCCCATCAGTAAGAGACAGTCTAGCTCCAGGCCTGGCCAAATTGGCAGGTTTTGTGGAAAACAGCAAACAAACAACTCTATTAGCAATAGAGAAGAAAAACCTGAAAATCACCCTGTGAACAACAGAAAAACAGGAATAAGAGGGGGGAAAAAAAAAACCCTTAGGAAACAGAGAAACTTCACTCAGCTTGTTAAAAATCATCCAAAAACCTGACAAGTAGAAGAAGTAAGAGATCCGAGGGTTCATTCTCACCACAGAGTTAACCCAGGCTGTTCACTGAATTTTGTCTTAGGTACTGTAAGCTAAGGCTACCTGGTTAGGCTTGGAATAATCACACTGGTGTGTGTATGCATGTATATATATCCATACAGACTGTTCCACCAAGTTGGAGTAATTTGCCTCCCCTTGCAGTGAAGTTACTCAAGTATGAATAGTTTCCCAGTGCCTTCACAGATTTTCAGGACAAACAACGGTCTGTCCACAGCCAATGCTGTTTCTTCCACTGTTTTCTGAGTGAGGATCTTAGCTCCCTGCAGCCCAAAGCCTGATAAGCCCTTGTGATATAGACAGAGAGAAGCACAGGGTTAGGAGAGGTGCCTTTTTGTAACAGGACCAGTCATGTGCTCCTGCCTGGCTCATCTGTGTGTCAGATATGATTGCTAGTCTCTCAAATCAACTGTGGTTGGTTTGTGTGAAGACACCCTGACAAAAGGCAACAAGAAACAAGAGGGCCTTTGCAGCTGTCATTACTAGTAGCAATCTCCTTAGAAAACTTCCTAGAAACAAATATTCGAGATGAAGCTGTGGCACAGTGGAGTTCAATTGGTGGGCTTAAGAAGTCGTGCTTCTCTAGCTTCTCAGCTTTACTTGGGGAGGGCACAGACCTGTTTCAGAAAATACTCAATTTTTACTCCTGAGCACATCTAAGAGTTTAAGCTGAGAACAGGCACCTTTTCCATGTCCACTTCACAGGGCAGAGCGTGTACGAAAGGTAAGTAGCCTGGTATATGCTTTTTGCTGTGTTGTCTGGTGGACTCTTTTAGCCCGTTAATGTTCTGAGTCTTTCCACCATGCTTGTTGGAAGAGGCTGAACACTGTTCAGTTGCATTCTGGAAAGCAATTTCAGAAAAATACACGGACTTCTCCTTATACAGTGTTCACAACAACTTTAATTATTGCCTCTGTTAGGAGGATCTGCTGAAACCCACAATTTCATACTTTCTGGCACAGTGAGTTTCTGAGCTTTTTGCTGCAATAGAACATACAAACTCTTGGTTGGGCACACAGTTTACATCTTTTCTGAACTTGGAAATCATTTAAAAATAAAGATCAAATTTGTCTGTTGTGTAAACAACTGTTCGTGTTACTAATAAGAGAAGCAGTTAAAGCTTGCCTTACTGAATGGTGCATTTGTCTGAACACTGATCTAACTCCCACTGAAAACCATCCATGTCTTTCTGTTAGTTGGATTTGATGCATAAGAGAATAGCTAAGCGAGGAGAACAAAGCTACATTTCTGAGCAAAGAAATGGCCTGCTGCTTCGATGGAGTTCAAAGGAACAGGACATTGTGAATATTGCTGCGTATAACATTACACTCAGATATAGCTGACAACTATAGGGCTCCTAGCCATGGCTAACTGCTTGCACATAAAAAGCAGGGCAGCATGTAAGTGCCAGGTGTCTGTTTCTAAAATGCCTTCAAGTATTTGATGTTCTCCTGTTTGACTGGTAGGGCTCTTACCAAGGACCTTTGTGCACAGCTCAGCAGTGCCCATGACCAAACATGGCTGATTCGTGTCACAGCCATATTTGCACTAATCCCTGTCCTTTGACAGATCTGGAAAAGGCAACAGGTAGGCAGTAGGAGCCTGCAGCACCATAGCAACTGTGCAAGAGAGCACTAGTCTCCCTGTCATCAGTGATGTCTCTCTGCTAGCCTTAAGAGGGATACACAAGGGAGAGAGATACACAAGCCTAAGCAATGGTGACTTGAGCAAAGATGCCTTTTCTCCCATACTAGAGCAGAGATAGGAGGGGAGGCAGGAGCGTGTTAGTAGGCCAGACCAGCCAGGGCTTGCTCTCCTCAGACACAACCATCATGGACCTATTTCCATAGGAGTGGTTTGCCTGAATTTGCTCTCTTGAGCTTCGCTGCAGGGCAGCCACTTTCTAAAACTGAACTCCAACCGGCTGAGCAACTGGGTGGATGGAAACAAAGCTACGGCCGTCAGCGTGACACGCATTGGGATCACTAGTGCTCAGGTTATGTGCCAGCAAAGTGATTCCTACCCTTGGCATTCAGAGGCTTCTTCTCAGTCTCTGCTCTAGACCCCTCAGATGCCTTTGTGAGAGGCAATAAGCCCTTGACCTAGGTAATATGTGGGGGGAGGCATTTTGGAGCCTCCTGTTCACATGACATAGAAATGGTCAGAGCATAATGCTGTAACACTGAGTCAAGCTCCTTGGAGCGTAGGGATTTGTGCAACACGTCAGCTGCCCCTGCCTCACCCTGTCACAGTGATTTCCCCAGGGCTCTCTACTGGAGGTCCAGCACGAGATGCACCAGGCCTGTGAGCTGATGCATGCGGGTTGGTGGCCTCACCAGGGCCCTTGGTATCGTCCCATCCCTCTCAGATGTAATTCTTCCAGGTGATCCCAGGAACTGGTTCCACGTCTTCATAGAATCACAGAA